AGCCCCCCACGAGATGTTTTTTTTTTAAATCAATATTAATAAAACGTAAACACATTTTATTATGTAAGATTAGCTTTCACCCGCGACTCAGTTCCCGTGGATTTTAAACAAAAGCAAGTAGCCTATGTTTTATTCCAGACTATCCTCTTCATCTATACCAAATTTCATTGAAATCCATTCAGCCGTTTAAGTTACAAAATCTAACAAACATCTATCCATCTAAATTTTCGCATTTATAATATTGGTAAGATAGCTTTTGCCCGCGACTCTTTCGCGTGGAATTGAAAAGAACAAAAGTGGATAGTCTATGTGTTCTTTTTTATGATTTTTAAAATCAGCGCTTCTAAATCTTCCAAACTATCCTCTACATCTATACCAAATTTCATGGAAGTCCATTCAGCCGTTTAAGCTTCATACCACGACCACACAGAAGACAGGCGTGAAATGGAAGCAATTCCGTGTTTCGTCTGAGGAGTGTGGTGCCGAAGGCCTAATTTAAGTCCCTTACTCTTTACCATCCTTTTCTTATAAGGACAGGATGGGAAGAGGATGTGGATTTGACGGTGGAGGAGATGCATAGGAAGGGGAAATATCCTCTTTATGTGCGTCTCCTCCTCCGTCGGATAAGGGTAGGCAACGCATCTGCATTTGCGGATGTCTATGGGCAACGGTCGCTTCGCCATTTTGACGTATTCAGGTGGCCTGTTGCTCGTTTGCCACCTTATGTTATAAAAAAAGCTACAAACTAACACCCATCCATCCATCCATCTAAACTTTCGCATTTATAATATTAGTAAGATAAGCTAGTTAATATTTGTATAAGGCTGGTATAGTGTGCAAGCTGAGCACGCGGTGCGCGGTGGTGGCGGCCTGCAACCCGCGCGGACATTACCATACAGACGAGCCTCTCGCTGCCAACGTCGCACTCGGCACACCCTTGTTAAGCAGGTACCACTGACCATTACAAATAGATAGGTTATTGTCAGGAAATTACACGTTTTTCACATATTTTGATACATATTTCGATACTTTTTGACACATTTGAATGATTCTACGAGCAAACTAGAAATGGATAGGTTATTGTCAGTTAAATACACACTTGTCACGTAATTTGAAACCTATTTCGATACTTTTTGATACATTTTAATGGTTCTACGAGATAACCAGAAATGGATAGGTTATTGTCCGGTAACGCTTGTTATGTATTTCTATGTTTTGACTTTTCGATTCTACTAGCAACATTGTTAAGTCTAATTCTATATCTATTATTAGTTTAAATCCTGAAATATTGACCGAAAACGTCAGCCAGATAAAATCAAATAGACACAAAATACAAGAGTTTAAAAACTGTCCATTGATAGAAGTCGGTGAGGTTACATGAAATGAACTTATGAAGATAATTTATTCATAAAAAAAGAAAAACAATATTTACTCACTGAAACTTTTGGCTTATATGGTCTTAATGGTCCCATTATGGTCTTAATTGGGGGTAAAACTTAGCATTAAAAATGGTTTTCCTCACGAATAAGATAGCGGTTTGTTACGGTTTTAATACATATTTGATCTGACTTTTGTATAAATTGTCTATGTCTATGGTATTTAAATATTTTGGAATAATTACAGATTTGACTTGATATTCATATTATTGGACTCTAAAAACAAATCATGGGATAAGTTGGTTTCGTCGTATATTTTACACGGAGCATCTAACGCTAAGAAATCTAAAACAAGATGGACCATTGAAAAGTTACAGGTTTTAAATACTTTTTTTAATGTTTACATGCCAGTACAGTTGGACAATTGCGATGGCCAGTATAAGTATGAACTTCTGGCGCCAGTTAGCATTGACGCAGTGGCAGTTGATTGCCAGTCCAGTTGAACGCTACTAACCAACTGTACTGGCCAAATGAAATTTTGACCTTGACACTTGAGTAATATACATTATTATGAATTTTATTTATTAAATGT